AGTTTCGAATGTGCACCCAAGCATTTGTGATTTTAGACACTGTACCTTCAGTGTCTTGCTACCCATTCCTTTTACTCACAAACTTGTTCAAACATTTATGTTGAAACAAGTCCTTCTCCGACACAAAAGGGCCAACCAGATTCAAATCCAGGAAGAGACAACACTACGTTCTAAATCAGGTCTTTGGCAAAGCCCGTATTTTACCTGATTCCCTACAACGTTTCTTTTCCAGTTTGAATATAAACTGAAGAGCAGAGACAGAGTAAAATAACTTTTTAAGCCTGAAGCCTGAAAAGTTATTACAGAGTAAACTCACTCCCCCATTGGGCATGCCCGGAATTCAGGGGGAAATCTGCTTTCAAGTTGTTCCTATAGCCCTGGACCAGATGCTCTAAGGTGGCCAGAAACCTTTGTCTACACCCACTTAGCAGATTTCTGGCTCTTTATCAGGGACTAAGAGGTTTATTTGCAGAAATGAATCATTTCCTTCAAAATATCCTTTACCCTATTTACATGCTTGCATATTCCTTCCATTTTGTTTCCCCCCCTACAGCTTTACTAAGGGAATTAATTATCTTGAAGAACAGGAACATACAGTAAGTACATCTGAAATACAGGATGAGGCGCAGTATGTCATCTATTAGGCCTGGCTAAGACCAGCAGCTGATGCTAAATGGGAAGGAACATGCACCAAATGTTTTTTAATCACAAAGTTAGTAATTAATTGCTCTTTAAAATACATTTTATGCTTCTTTCTGCCTGTGTACATGAAATGCACATTTATTACATGCCAAAAATTACAACATTATGGTTTAAATGTGACTGGCACGGAAGTCCGGAAATCAGAGTTAATGTTCCCACGGCAACTTTAATTCTGTCCGTGTGCACATGTAGGGCCATAACAGTCTTCCGCTCCAGGATAATACATATAGATGGTCTGGGGAGGGAAGCTAAAGACCCATATCCTCAACTGTAGTTACAGGAAAGAGACAAAGGGTAAAAACCGTGCTCCTTTCCACATACACAGAGACAAAACAATGTCCCCACGCCTGGTGTTGTGTAATCAGGGAAAGAAAGAATCGGCTGTGGTGCTGGCACTCAAGGGGACAGTTTCTGTTGCTGTGGGAACCTGAACTTTGCATTTCCTGACTTTGGGGTAATTAAAATGTCAGCCTTAATGTGGCATTAATGGAGTTTGCCATAAAAAATCCTCTTTGTTTTGTTCTCTTAAAAAAAATTGTTTAAAAGTTCAAACTGAACGAAGTGTACTAAAAATTTTAATCTCGGGGACTTGGCCTGGTGATGGAAGTTGGGGGGGGGGAGGGGGAAGTGAAGGGCCGGGAGGGGGAAGACCGGCGAAGGTGGAAGGCCAGAGAGAGAAAGGAAGGGCCCTGCAGTCTCCTCGGACAGTGCTCAGCCCCAGCAGAGTCATGCTACCTACGGAGCTAAAGTTAAACCCACCCACACAACAGTTTGGTAATGTGTAAAGGTTAAATTAAAAATAAATAAAAACTGTTAATGCATAAGTGCATCTTGGCAAGGACACAGCAGATGAGACAGCCTGCTGAGGCCAGTGCAAAACACCGGAAGGTAAGTAACCATGGAAGACGGCTTCCAACCAAACAAAGACATCAGAATAGGTGGCTCCGCGGCCAAAAGTCGGGAGCACTGCCAAAGGGGGGGAACCGCTTCTCCCTTCGATGGGAGCCTTATTTGGGGGAAAACAAAACGGAAGAAGCACGCGAGTCGTAGTTCTGGGCGAGTCTGCCACATGTACACGACTGTGACGTGCCGCAGCTTGATAGCTGTCAGGCTAGGAAGGGCTTCATCTGCTCTGCTGACTTGGGTTAGGCCTCTTTACACGTCTGAAGAGAGAGCTTGGCTCAGCTCTTCCTCAGCCTGTTCCTCAGCAGGGAACCATTCTGTCAAACACCTAGGGCTTTCGTACCCTTTGCATTCCAAAACTCATCTCAACGCCTTGCGTTCTCGTCACTGGAGTTTGTTTACCACTGGATTTTTGGAAATGGTGAAGAGGCCGCAAGCTAGGAGGTCGTGGGGGAATGTCGCTAGGAAGTCATTGGTAGTGGGTGGGCCACAGAGCAGCACCCAGTTCCGTGGCAATAGTAACCTCACCATCTCACAAGGGGAAGCATTTTTCAACCCTATTCCTTCTTGGTTTGGATTATGACTGGGATCTTTGGCAAAATTTGAAGTCGCTGGGCAGGTTAGGTAGCCAGCTGAGAATTTTAGGGGTCAGACTTGTCTAAAACATTTGCCTGTGTCCTTCAGATGCGACAACACTATGGCTCACCCGCTCTTACCGGTTCATAGGCAGAGCTGACTCTCCTGTGGGGATGCTGATCCACAGTGTTTTAGAACTCAGTCACCAATACGAGTAGTTGCACATTTTCCAGAATGCCATTTATGGGCTTGGAACAGAGAATTCAGGCTGCTCACAGGGAGAGCAAATCCATAAACATCCCTCAGTATCTGAATGAGTTAACTACTGAACAAGTCATTCATTGACAGAAGTGTCAATTTTCTCAGTTTTCCTACCCGTAAATTGGGAAGAATTATAATGACTGACAGGAAATGGGTATTAGAGCATGACTAAGAATAATTTTGCTAAACACATAACAAATAAAAAGGTGCTATAAAAATTTGGGCACTTGTGAAAGTTTGGAACACCACACACTGGTGGAATGTTTCTGAAGTTAAAGAGACTAACAAGTCAAGGGCACTATTTTTAAATGCCCCAAATCTGTTAGTTCTAAATAGGAACAGAATATTTTACCTTAAAGAAATTAGGCTTTTAAATTAATCTATGGTAAGAATGACATTTGAAAGTAAAAAAAAAAAAATCTTCTTGAATGCAAGAAGAGCATCCAAAAAATTTAACAGCTTAAAATAAACCTCTTTCCTGTCTTCTCTCAAGCAATCTCCAAATGGACAGATTTCTGTGAATCTTTCCTAAAAACAATTTTCTTCTAAGTCTAGGCTCAAATCAGGACAAACTACGATCCAAATATATTTGGAGAAAAGCATAATCGATTTCATCAACAGGTTAGGATAGAGAGGACGTACGCATCTTAATGGCAAAATCAGAATGACTTTCTACGCAGCTGGAGATTAGGTGTCTCCTCCCTATCTGTTCTCCTTCCAACTGCATTCAGATACCTCACTGTGAGCTCCGATCTCCTGGCTCCCTCTGGGTCACTTCTGAGCTGTACGGCAGCATGACGCTCATACAGTTTCTTGTTCGTATTCCAGGCTAATGCCGAGACCTGGCTGGAGGATGCTTATGGTAAAGTACAATAATTGAAGCCTGGTGCCTTGTCTATTCAGCAAAACGTTCATTTTGCTGCAACAGGGGATTTCTGGGCTAAGGCCATTCTATGTAATCTTCCCCATAAGGTGTGGCAGAAGGCCAGGCGATGAAGGTGTACGTGCAGGAGCTCCAGGCCTTTCTCCACAGGAACGGGCTACCTTCCTGGTAGGTAGGGACAGCATGCACATGCCTACGGGCGCTGTGCCATGCGATTTTCCAATTCTTCCTGTAATTACTATTAGGCTGGAGACTGCCAAGCAAGAAGGGCCAAGGATGTTACTATTACGATGGTCTACAGAACACAGTCCTTGCTCCTGATCCCCAGAGTTCTCTACAGAAGCAGCAACTTAGTACAAATCACATGGGCTCTAGTGATTCGGATCCCGTTCTTTCTCGTTTCACTTTCTAGTGACAGCTGGAGCAGCCACCAGAAGAACAAGCTCCTTTTCACCCTGACCTCAACCCCTGGGTTGTTTGTCCCTTTACTTAAGACCCTATGATGATGAAGCAAGTAGGGAATGGAATCTCCCAGACGCATCCACTTCTTGCCCACTTTGCAGAGTGTTACATTTGTTTTGTCAGAAAAATAACAAGAGGAGATTTAGACTCTCATTTCCTAATTAAAGATGCTTGTGTCCATGGACAGGATAAATGGAGTCCTTTTTTGAAAACAAAACCGTCTTAGTCTTATTCTTCCTCCTTCTAAAGAAGAACACGCCAGCTCTTTGCCTGTTACTAGACATCCTGAATGGAGATCAGTTCAGAATACTTGTTGGGTATCTTAACACCAAAAGGAATATTCTTTCAGGTCAGACCCCAAAATTATTCCATTCCTCTCCACTGTCACCATACATGTTCCTTTCTCTTTGAAGTATTGGGTTACACTTCAAAAAGAGAAAAGCTCCGAAACATGATTTATCAACTTTCTTAAAATAGAATTTGAAGAAGTGACTCCCCGATTAGTGGGAAGACAGCAAAAATAAACAGCAATGGAGTGATTTCAACGGCGACGATCTCATTAAGCTGCCCATTTCCAAATTTAGCCCCTAGGCAGTTTTTTTAATTAAAAAATATTTTTAACCTGAATTCTTACTGGCTACGTGAAGTCTGGGTGGATTCTGAATTCTTGGAAGCCATTCTCTTTTCTTCTGTTAATTTATGCTATCCTTTAACCACTTCAAAATAAATTAAAAACTGGAAGGACGGAAATTCAGCCAAGCCAAATGAGACTCCAATAACTAATGCAAAGCTGACTTGTATTATGTAATTTCAAAATGGATGTTTCCTGTGTCTAACTGGCTTTTTGAGGTCCATATTTGGTGGTTCAGTTTAGTCATGGTGGAAGTGCTGTTATTCAGATCGCGGGGACAAAAGAATAATTAGAAAACGGTAACCCAACTTTTTTTTTTTTTGAGTGAATGTTATGAAAGAAAATGTGGTTCACGTAATGAATCAGCCTTTTGAGGCCAAGTGGCTGGACACCTGGTTTTAAAATATACTCTAGCTTTGAAAATATGGACGTTGGCTGAATCAAAATGGAGGCAAGTTCCCTTTGACTACTCTACAAGACCAAATGGAAACGGCTTGTTCGGAATGCAAAAAAAACCAGAACCCAGGGGGGAAGCACGCTCCAAGCGCCGCGAAGACACCATCACCTTACTGGTGTACTCACAATCAGATGACCCGGTGTGAGCGTGAGAGTTTGTCAGTGAATGTGTTGAGTGGATGAGGGCTGGGTCTGGAGACAAAACAGCTTCAAAGTTCAGGCAGGGAAGGCCCGGCTTGGCGCTGGATCCACCCGGCTGAGTAATCTCATTCTCCTCAGATGCCTTCTGGTTTTCAGCTGTCTTGGGTTTCTTCCTGAAAATAAACAAAGGGCCCTTTGAAGGAACTGACTGCATATTTGGGAAAAGGCATTTTTAGAATCTGTTAAAGATAACTTGATTTTTTTTTTTCTGAGGGGGGATGGGAGGGAGTCCAGTATGTCCCTTGTTTTAAAACAAGCTGATTCTTGTTTTTTTCCCTCCAGTAATGGCCTAACTGGGAACACATGAAAGCATATGGGCCAAGCAAACAGCACCACATTTGGACTCTGTTGGCTGCATAAAAAGACCCTGTCCCAGAACTTTAGACAGATTGAGCTACGTATGGCTGACATTATCCAAGAAAGCATCCTTTTTTCCCCCTTAAGAGTTTTAACATGGTCTGGAAAAATACTAGTGGAGGTTTACCGTTCTAGCATTTGTCAGGAAGCTTAGAGACAGGACCCGTGGAGTAATGGGAGGAGCACTGGACTGGGAGTCAGGAGACTTGAGCTATGGTACTAGCTGTGCCTCTAACTTGCTGTGTGGCCTTGGGCACCTCACTTCACCTCTCTGGGCTTCAGTTTCCTCATCTGTAAAATAAAGGGCTTGGATTAGAAGGCCTTAAAGGTTCCTTCCAGCTTGAAGTTTCTATTCATGGAACACATTATGGAACATTCAACTTTCTTGCCGTTATTAGCTTTTACTTTAGATTAACACAATTTCCAATCACAATCTAAATTTGCAGTCTACATAGATGAGACGGTAGTGATGGAGGTTGTTGTTAAAGTAGCAAATGAAAAATGAAAAGATGAGCTTAGCTTCTAGTAGGTAAAGTGGTAAGGTGTCACGCGGAGATCCTCTATTCCACATCTTTACTCATCCAAAGCTGAAGATTCCCTTTGTTTGTTGATTTAGTACATGACTCTGGAGTATGGGAGTGTGACTGTGTGTTTGGGGTGGGAGGAAGAAATGGGTGAAGGGCACTAGAAAGTAATTATTGCCCACTGCTGCTTGAGGTCAGGAATAGGAAGCAAAAGAGCTCAGGTACCGGTCGGCTCTGGTGTCCTTCCCCTCCGGGACGATGAAACTGACATAAACACAGAAATACTTAGCTTACACTGCATGTACCCTAGGTCCCAGCCAAACTGGGTTATTAGTCATACCCTGCACATGCCCTCCAATTTCCTTGGCTCTGTGCCTCTTTCTACATTATGTGGATGGTGACCAGAGAAATTATTTTATTTTATTTTTCGGTGGAAGACTATGTGTGCAACAGAATTTGTTGTAAGTAGCTTTGTTTCCATGTTTTTCTTGTTTCTATAAGCCTGGCAATGGACTTGTCATACAGGATATTTTGTATCGGAATTTGCTGTACGGGGTAGTGAAATCTGCCCTCGCAGAATATGGTGTTATGATTAGCATGCTGTGTTTCTGGTCCAACAGGTTGTGAAATCAAATCTGGTTTTTCAGAGGGTAGGAGGCAGAGATAGCATGGTAAAGATGCAGAGAGAGGGGAAGCTTTCAGACATATTTTTCAGTATGGAGTAGGCCGATATCAGAGAAGCAACAAATTGCAATGCTTTACCAACTGTTTGTTGGATGGTTGACAATGGAACCGACCCCAAGTCTTGAGTGTCTACATGGACCTCCAAAGCCCGGTTTCTGGTGTTCAGTTTAAGAAGAGATCCAAGATCAAAGTCTCCAAAGCTCAACTCTTTTTTATTCTTGGAAACCAGTGCCCCCTCTCAGACCCCTCCCTATTTCCATCACTGTTGTCTGTCACCAGCTTCGTCATCAGGTTGGAAACCGTAGGTGAGCAACACCTTTCTCTGCCTTAAAGCCGATTCATCAATTCCTGACAATTCTGTTTCCTTCATATTTTTTCACATCCATGTTTCCTTTCCATTTCCACCACTATCACCTTAACACTTTTATTTAGACTGTTGTTTATTTACTGGCTCTCTATCCTCTTTGACCTCTCAGAGAAAATCAGTTTAGCCCAGCACCCCAAATGAGTCCTATATATGCTCTAGCATATAGGCCACCTGTTGGCCACACAGGACTCTCAAAGTTCTTGAAAATTCCCAGAAGTCTTGGAGTATCTACATCCTTGGCTCTACATCTTTGTTCAAGTTAGTTCCCTTGCTCTGAATGTCCCTTTTACAACTCTGTTGAAATCATATTTATCCTTCTTACTTATTAAAGGTTGTCTCCATCTTGTAACTGTCTTGATCTACCTCTACCAGATGGAATGTCTCTTTCTCTCTGAAATTCAACTCCATCCCACCTTTCTCTGAAATTCCAAAAAAATCTATACTTCTCCCTATTTTACTCGCTAAGTTTTGTTTCAATAGTAGTTATTTACGTGGTTATCCCCCCCATGAGACTGTAAACTCTCTGAGAGAAAATGTCTTAGTTATTTTTTAATTCCCTGTGTTCATCCTTTCTTTCCTTCCTCCTTCCCTCCCACCATTCATCTAGTCACATATTCATCTTAAAATATCATGCCCCTATGGTGTGCCAGCATAGGTTAGGGAATGCAGCAAGCCTGGTTGCTATCCTCTTGGAGTTTCCTCTCTAGTGTGTACTGTTAAGCAGAGTAGCTTCGATAACGCTGTCATTCAAGGGGCACCTGGGTGGCTCAGTCGGTAAGTGTCTGCCTTCGGCTCAGGTCATGATCCCAGGGTCCTGGGATCGAGACCCGCATTGGGCTCCCCGCTCAGCGGGGGCGGGGAAGCCTGCTTCTCCCTCTCCCACTCCCCCTGCTTGTGTTCCCTCTCTCGCTGTGTCTCTCTCTCTGTCAAATAAATAAATAAAATCTTTAAAAAATTTTTAAAAAGCTGTCATTCAATATTTGTTTGTTGATGGAGTGAAGCAGAATTGAATTCAAGATATATTTTGAGAATAGTCATAGTCTAAATCCCAATTAAGTTTCCCTATTCTTTTGTTTTTTGTTTTTATTTACTTGAGAGAGAGACAGAGCGAGCACAGAGGGAGAGTGAGAGGGAGAAGCAAACTCCCCGCTGAGAAGTGAGCCTGATGCGGGGCTCAATCCCAGGACCAGAGCCAAAGGCAGATGCTTCACTGACTGAGCCACCAGGTGCCCCAAGAGTAGGACCATTTTGCCTAACAGAGCTGGGCTGGTCCTCATGAGTCCTTTAAATATCAGGATGAAATATTAATGGTAGATATCAACAGAAAAACTCTTTTTTTAAAATATTTATTTCTGATGCTTACAGACAAGGCCTTGGCTAGTTTTGGATTTCTGTTTCAGGAAATTGAAAAAGCCCTCTTTCAAACATGAGTATATGACCAAACAACCAACATTACTTTTCTAACACTGCAAAAATGGTATTGTTCTTTATATAAATGCTCTTGCTTCCTTCCCTAAATTTGGTCCTGCTTCCTACCTGGCATTTTATCCCACACCCTCCTGTTTGTTGTCTCAAGGATCACCTATGGAGAACACTCACAGTACAGAGGCATTGGAAGCCACCTCTACCAATGAAAATACTGAAAATTCAACCTTCCGGCTCACCCCCTCATTTGCTCATCCTAATACCACTGGGCTTTTCCCACCTGCACAGATAATGGAGAGCCACTGACTGTCCTTAGAAGCAATCCATTTCTCATCTCACCCTCTCTGAGAGTTCTACTGGACTCCTTTTTCTGGAGCCAAGAAACACTGAAACGTAGCAGCAGTCTATCTAGACATGCACAGGTGCTGTGATGTTGACCCCGTTTTTGCAGTTGATAGTTTATTAAGGAGGAAAAAGCAAGTCCTGCAGTAATTAACTGAAAATACCTTCTTTGGTTGTGTAGAAAGAATCGTATAAACATGGCACATCTGAGGGCAAGTCTGTCCAAGCCTCCATGGCTATGCATTATTCCCTGGAGCCTTTAGAGGGCAGCAGCACACAGGCTACTCGGGCAGCACGCTGGCGAGGCAAACTCCCGACCAGACCAGAACCTTCCTCCTGGTCACCATGCCAAAGGTTGGTTTGCCAAGCTCTGGCCGCTCAGCCTCTTTCTTTCTTTTCAGTTCTCATTCTCTCTCTCTCTGTCTCTCTGTCTCTCCCTCTCTCTCCTCCCTCTCTCCCTCCCTCCCCAAATGTTAAAATTATACACTCTGATGAAGTCGCCCCTCAACCGGAAAATGAAAGCTCCAATGAAAAAGTTAGACAAGCCAACAACAACAAAGAAAGAAACCGGGAGAAAGGGGAAAGGGGGCTGGTGAGGGGGAAGGATTTAAGAACAAGAAAAGGGCAGATGTTTCGTAAATATATGCAAAGCAAAACTGGGTGTACCCTGAACACTTCCACAGAGAAACAGACCAATCATTGTGCACTTCCTCCCGCCACACTGGTGGAGCTCTTCGTTCAAAAAAAAAAAAAAAAGTGTGGCTGCAGGCACCTGCCTTTCAAACGGTCAGTTCTGACATCCTCACTGAATCTCTCCCAATTGTCCAAAGAGAACAAAAACATTTTCATCTCCCCACTGCAAACATTTCTCTTATGAGAAAAAGGGCTGCTTCAAGAACTGGAAAGGCGTTTTAAGGTGACTGGTGGCTGGTTTTTTAACTCTCATTGTGCTGGTCCTGGCAACAAGTTTTGGGCTGAAACATAGCAGTGAGTGAGGTTGTGGATGATGTTGGCTCTTTCCTTACTAGACATATTGCATGTGGAAAGAAATATGCATTGAAACATATTGATGAGATGGTAGGTATTAGGCATGTTAAATGCGTGGAAATTAACCAGATCGGTGGCATTTGATGTATATATTTCACACTTCTTTGCACATATTGCACACATACAGTGATGGCAATGCTTTCTACAACATATGGAAAATAAATATTTTATCTGTGTGAGCTCTTATCAGGCTCCCGGGGCTGTTGAGAGGAGAGTGCTCTCTTCTATCTCCCTCTCCCAATTTTCTCTCTTCACTGCCCCCCACCCCCACTCCACCTCTCCTGCATATTAACATGCCTTCCACTTATCAGCCTATTGGATAGGAAAGAATTAGTCAGAACCTCCTTTTGATAAATAATTACTCAGTCATTGAATCATGACAATTTAGATCCACGATGCCCTCTCCCCCAATTTTTTTTTTTTGGAATGGTAACCATTTCTTTATTCTCTTTCCCGACAAAACATTGAAAAGGCTCAGGAGAGTGTTTGCAGAGGGGATCAGAGAGCAGAGGTGTAACAATACCTCTCTCCCCCGCCCCCACCACCAGTGAAACCCAGCTCTACCATCAAGTATCTGTGTGCCCTAGGCAAATTACCGTGCTTCTCTGGGCCTCAGTGGAAATAATGGGGTAATAATACCTACCTCGTTGGGCTGATGTGAGGATTAAGTGAGATAATTCATGTCAAGCAATTGGCAGAGTGATGGCACATGGTCAGTGCTCAATGATGGTAGTAGCTCTGAGAGAGCATCCGTTCTATGGTTTTCGTCAGCTATACGGAGGCACTTCCTCGGCCTTAGTAATCTTTTTTAACGTCTAGACTTCAGCAGGGGTAAATGGACCGTCATTGTAGCAAAGGCAAAAGAATGTAAGGATAAGCAATCTCTTCCTGAGCACTTTGATCTTACTGTATCACGCTCCCGACACTGTCCTTCTGTTCACTTGTTTGTCATTGCTGTTGCTACACCAAGAGCCCCTCTCAAACCTGAGGGTCAAGCAAGCTACACTGGGCCCTGGAAGCCCATCAAACCTGGGCACTATGGTCTGTGCGTCGAAGCCAACCTTTGGCACTCACGCTTATCATGTCTCCTTACAATTTATCCTTTTACTACTCAGTCTAATGTTCTCAGATCAAAAGATGTTTTCGTAATTAAAACATTTTATTCTCTCAATTTTTTAAATCTTCTTGGCAAGGCCGATTTATAATGTTTTTCAGTGTATTTCCATTTCACTGTATCAGTCAGGATTCGGGCAAGAAACAGTGGGCACACTCAAAGGTTTTAGCTGGAGAGAGTTTAATATAAGGACTGTATAGTGAGGTACAGAGGAGGTAGTGGGGTGCTCAAGTTGGGGTGAAGCACCAGGGCTAGCAGCGGTGGAATGCTGTCAATGTCAGCTTTCAACTGTTAAATCCAAGGGGCGAGGAAGGCATGGCCTTCTCGGAGTCTAGTCAGAACTGCAGTTAGGAAGGGGGTACCCTGCCCTCACTCTCCTCCCACCAGCACATCCTTTACTGATGTTCCTTTTGGCCCAGTTCAAAGGGGGAGAGAGCCTGGGAGTGCAGTCCAGAAAGGCCGGCCTCCTGGGCCACATATCAGGGCAGAGAAGGGCTCTGGGGTTTTGTGTGGGTGTAGAGGGGATACTAATCAGTGGAGCTCTTCTTTCCCTTCTCCGTCTCCTTCACCCTTCCCTTTCAATTTTACTTTCTGGAAAGAAAGACACAGCAAAATAAAGTGAAGTCAGTTCTCTCAGCGTCCATGTACCTATTTTGTCTGTTTGCCATTTATGGGGGAGAAAGCTGAATGCGGACTCCGTGAGAGCAGGGATTTTTTGTGTGTTTTGTTGGCGGCCACATCCCTAGTTCCCAGAACAGTGTCTGATACAGAGTAAACTGCCCAGTGAATTTCAGTGGGTCGAGTAAATATATTCACTTCTGCTATGCCAGATATTATATGCATATTATCTCATTTAATTATCACAACAATCCAGAGAAGTAGGCAGGGCTGCTGAGCATGGTTGTGTAAGTGGTGTGGGAGTGGGTAGGTTTTAAAATCTAACACTTGTCCCCTCCCTTCCCATCCCTAAGCCTTGAGACCTGGTCCAGGGCACTGTCAACCCTGGACATATTTTTGTAATTAGTCCACATGTTTATAGTTTATTCACCTTATTGGTTTTGTACCTAGCCAAGTGCAGAAACTTTATTTTTGTTTCTTCTTTATATATGAGAGAGCTGAATTTCTGAAAAGGAGAGCTTGCAGAGATTAGAGCTTAATCTGTCCCTGGTAGGACCTGTAAAGCCTGAAAGCAGGTACTGGTGTTGGGCACAGGTAAAATGCTTCCTAAGGGCAGAAAGAGATGCTCACTGGTGGGACTCCCTATGATTTTCAGGAAAGCATAGGTCCTGATTCCTGGGTTTGGATTTGAGTTCTCTGCAGGAAGGTAGGAGCGGTAAAGACTCTTCCCTCTTCCAAAGGCTACGGGTCCTGGGGACCCCGGCTACACCCTAGCACAGCTGTGCTACTTGCCCTAGTATAGTTACCCCGTAATGCAGAGAAACCCAGAAAACCATCCAGACGTGGGAATTTCTAAGGCACTCCTTGCACTTCAACTTGAGGATGAATGAATGAAGGTGTCTGTACAAGCAAGTTCCTCGCATGGGTACGGAGAAACTATTTTTGATCTTCCGTCTTGTCTTTAGTCCCCAGCCCCTGAACCCAGTAGTACTGCAGATGACTCTGGTGGTCCCCATCTCCATGCCAACCAGGCAAGCCTGCCTGTCACCTACACGTCCACTGCCACTAATTACGATCCAGGTGACTAAAAGCACTAAAGGGGAACAGCAATGCAAAACAAAACAAAACAAAACAAAAACTCTGGCTTTGTCCCTTTGTGTATGATTTATGCCCAAATAGCTAAAGACATAGAAAATATGAATGTGAAAATCCTACCCGAAAGCTTAACAGGGATGTTACTTTCCCAGGGTTAGCATTTTCCAGTAACAGAGAGGTCTATAAAACACTATCCCATGACAGGCCTCATACCGTAGATAGGAAGACCCGAGAATACAACTAGAACGAGGTTTTGTCTTAAAATGTATAATTAAGCTGTTTTGCATGCATAGCCTCTAAATAATTTAACTTTCTGGCTTTTTCAGTTAAAAAAAAAAAGCATCTCTTCATCTGTTACTTTTAGCAATGGTTAATGAATAGTTGATATCAATCTTTCATAAGTATTGTCCTGTAGGCCTCCTGCCTCCTATCCCAACCCATTTGTGCACCTTGCCCTGTATTCTCCGACATAAATGCCTGACACAGAGGGAACTCAACCACATGCACAGAGCCATGCATCCAGAGGGCAGGGCTGAGCTGGAAGCAATGGGTGAGAAATGCGGCTGAAGGAGCCCTGAGTCCCCAGGGAGGGCCTTGGCCCCCTAAAGGAGCAAGGGCATTAGCTCAGAGATGTGACTCAGACAACAGAGAGATGCCGAGGAGGAAAGCTGGCCCCTGGACCTGACCAGGGTGGCATGAAATGACAAGTTGCAGTGAGATTCAACAGAGTGGCACAGGAGGTGACAAGGGGCCAAGAGATCGGCTGGGAGCTGCCACTACTTCCGGTGAGGGTTCAGACGACCAGGCAGAACAGCGCCAGGCCCCGCCAAGGACGCCGGGATCCGGCCCCGCGTCTGGTGAGGAGGCGTGCTGCTGCTCGGGGTGGGCGCTGCAGGCTGGCAGCTGAGGGCCACCGTGGGCTCCTCAGCCCTGAGTCTTGCGGCCCCACCGCGATCAAGACCTGAAGCCATCTACAGCTGCATCTGCGTCTACAATTGTGTGAGGGTGTTTGGTTTTTGTTTTTTTTGTTTTTCCAAATTAAACTGAGTGAACTGAGAAGGCTTTCACTGGAGGCGTAATGTACTCACAGTAGTTTCCAAATAAATGGTGTCACTCTTCAGGTAAATCACTCCAAGGCTTGGGCCTAGTGCAGATGTTCATTGGGGCAGGGAACAGAGAGCGGTTGCATCTAGAGCAGGCAAGGAAGAAAGATAAGGCCGTTAAATGACAGGTGATGGTGATCAGTCCCGCTGATGGAGACAGAACTGTGGGACTTGGGTGGGACAGTCCGGTTCTGCACCTTTGCACCAGAGAAGGGCCGGCCAGGGGAGGCAGAGGCAGAAGAGGGGATGTCGCCCGGGCTCCATTCTCAGCATGCCCATCTGACGGCGGGGGTGGTCCGAGATCTTCCACAGCACCCTGTTTGTGCGGACACAGTGCATTTGGTGGTGGGGACATGGAAGCCGAGGTGGAGGGTGAGGGCGGGGGGGGGCCTTCAACCTTGCCACAGCTGACGCTTCTGCTGGTGTTCTCGATTCCACTGTAGCCTCTCCTGCTGTAGCACCCAGTTCTTACCTGCTCTGGAAACGCCGCTGACCTGGCCACGTTCTGAAGCTCCTGCCGCGTCTCTGCCTTTCACTACAAAGTCTCCGCCATCTCCCGTGTCCTCTAACACGTGCCGCTCAGCCTTAGGGGCTGCAGGGCTGACCGCTGTCTGTCTCCAGCCTCGCACCCAGAGGTCCTTCCCCAGGCCTTGCCCTTTTGGCCACACCAAGCCCCGATGACCACATTATTCCCGAAACTGTCCTCCCTTCTCACTGGGACCCTGCATTTTCCTGACTTTCCTTCCACCACTCAGCTCTCTCTTCTGTCTCCTTTACTGGCTCATCATCTTCATTCTCCTAAATGTAGATCTTCCTCAAGATTCTCTTCTCAGTCTTTGCCTACACCCACCCTGCATGACCTCAACAATTACTTCTCCATAGAGAACACCCACATGGCTATCTTTAGTTCCTGCTTCTCTGCAGAGCTCCAGATCCACATTATTAATAACCTCTGGTTATTGGTTCATTCACTCATTTGCTTGTTCATTCATTCATTCACTCATTCATTCATTCAGTGTTTGCATAGCATCGCTCAGGCACCTGGAAAAGATGAATAAGACAGGGCCTCTAACTCTGAGAAGCTCACACCTCCATCAAATACCGCACAGACATTTCTAATTCAGAAAGTTTAAAACAGAAATCATTGTCTCTCCCTCAAATATGTTCCCATTTCCTGCCATGGTCCATTTCCTACCATCTTCACCCAGTTACTTGGTCCTACAATGGAGGAGTCATCTTTAATTCCCCCTTTTCTTTTGCTTCTCATATCCAATCAGCTGCCAAGAGATTAGAGGCTGTGCTTCCTAAATCAATACCTACTCTCTCTCCCAACACCTATTTATCCCTTTGTCATCTGTGCCAGGACTTTTGTGAGAGCCTCCCAATGGCTTCACTTCTTCCAGGTTCTTTTTATCTTTAGCCCATCCTTTACATCAATACCACATTAATTTTTCTTAAGTACCACTCTAAACATACCATTCCTTTGCTCTTTGCCTACTGGACTAAATTCAAACTTCTCAGTTTGGCATTCAAGGCCCCTACAATATAGACCCAGTCTAATTTCCACTTCCACACCGCATAGAAGTCCCACTCTTTCCCATCCAAATGCCACCTCATTATAAAACATCTCCCCAAGGAAAGTGCCCTAGTTGAGTCCTCAAGCACTTTCTGCACTACTCCCTTTGCATGTTCTATGGACTCTAATAATTACTTGTGTAATTTGGCTCCCCCCTCTATAAGCTCCTAGGAAGCAGAGATAATTTTTACTTCGTGTACCCTATAGTATGCAATGCCTTGCACAGAGATTTGCGCTCAGTTGATGTCTGCTAAACCAAAGTTAAAAGGAATCAAGACTCTTGCTTATAGTCATGGAAACTGAGACTGAATTGGAAAGACCTGAAAGCTCATCGCCTCTCATTTTCCAGATGAGATTAAGGGAACTGACTCGCTCAAGGCCACATCCTTGCTCTTGGCCGAACAGCAATAACTGATAGAAAAGGTCACAGATCTTTAAATATCTATCAGCGCTTGCTCCGCACCAACAGGCCCAGCAGACCATCCACAGTCACCAGACCAGAGAGAGTGAGGGGTTCACGGGGTACACAGCCAGCAAGGATACACTGGGTTCCAAAAGATAAAGAAATTTGTTTCACTGATTCACTTCAATAAACTGAAATAATAAATATCCTTTTATAGATAAATCATGTTAAAAAACGAGGGTGGATTTAAAGAACAAGGAAGCAAACCTTTCTAACACTGTCAGCAGAAACAGTTATGACAATATTGTAAATGCCGCCGGGGTGATAAACACAGGGTGAAAAGCAGGATGAAGGAATTTCTCATGCTTTAGAAAAGCAGTGGGTTCAGCTGAAGTTCTTGGTGAAAACATGCCACAGTAATTCTATGGTTAAATTCTGACCTCATGGAAACAGAGGCCATTGGTGGTCCTGCTACGACACAACACACGTCCGTGTGTCTTCTCCACCTAGTCTTGCCCAGGATTGATCCTATAAGTTTGTTTAAATTTTCACGGATTTTTCTTTCACTGTATCACCAATTTACTTGTGGAAACGCATAGGCGAGTGCTCCCAAGGCTCCCAACTTTCTTCCCTTCTTTTCCTCCCATGATAGAAGTACTCACTGCTTAATCTCCTTTCTAGCCTCTTCCTCAGACAGAATCCTTTCCTCTTGCCCAAAGATGAAAAGCTCCCTCCCTCCCTCCCCCCAGAAAATATGGGAATAACAGCGTTTACCTAGGTGAGAAAACCAGACTTTTCAAGGGAATCTCGGTAGTGTTTACTTGGCCAGAAAAGCTCAGCTCTTAAATGTTAGCCTCCAGTACTACAGGACTTCATCTGCCTCTCCCAGGCGAGTACTTACTGTTACTTACCAGAGGAAAAACTTGGTACTATCAATCAGATTCTTTTTGGCCAGTGTGGGGGAGCCAAGCTATGCACTGAGACATCCATTCAATAGCAACATCCAAGTAGCCACGTAAACAGCAAATGGGACTCAAGAGCTCTCTATAGTTCTTACTAAACCATCTTATGGCTGGACAGGTTATCAACACTTCACCAGACACGGCTTCCTTCTCTTTTCTCCCCCTGGCAACTCCATTAAAATGATAAAGGATATCACTGACCGATATGTCTAGTGCTTTGCAATGAAAAATCACCTGGAAGCATACAAATCCATTGTGTAATTAGAGAAGTGTACATTTTAAATATGCCTAACATTTGGTTTAAATTGTGCATTTTATAATTAAATGGAGATATAATCTTTCTGTCCTTTAATCAAACTCCTCCCCACATCCCGCTGCTATAATCTTCCTTTCATTTTTTGGCAAACGGTCACCTCTCCCCCTCTCCTTACTTCCCCACACGCCTCAGCACACACCTAGGGGTCTATTAATCAGAACTACTGCCTAGTGTGTCATGTTTTATTGCTTAAAGGGTGGGTATGCTCTAAAAGAGACTCCTTGAAAATGACTTCATGAGGTTTCATATTTATTCTATTGCAATGACTCCCATATCCAATGTACACAGTTTTTAAGTCAAAAGATAATTCTGAGAGGCTGCTGGGGCTACACATTCTTCCCAGAGTCTGGAAATCCAGCTGTTCTCTCTGCCTCTTACATCATCACTGTAATAAAGAATCTGTTCTTGGATCCCAGCTGGCAACGTTCTTGATGGTGTCAGAGGCAGAGGAGACAGTGGGTCATTTCCATCCCAGTTGTTTTATTGTTGACGTCTCTGCAGCTCTGTCTTGGAAGCCCTCAGAGAGCAGAGCTGTTATGTAACACACTGCCACACATCACTACAAGGAATTTTCTGTGGAGGTCTCACTTCAGTGTGGCTCTTCCCATTCTTCGGAAATCACACCAGATCATCCTAAAATGACAGATGGGGCCTTTGTGACGAAAGCTCACAAAAAAGTAATAGTAACAATAATAGCTACCATTTGTTAGATGTCTACATTTTGTCAGGGACTGCATGGGGGAATTTTTACATGTAAATACATTCTCACTGAATCCTCACAGCAATGTCGTGTTGGAGGTATTAGCATGCCCATTTTACAGATGAGGAAAAGTGAGACTAAGAGAGCTCAATTATCCATTCTGTGGATAGTGAGGTCAGAATTCAAGGTCAGATCTGAGCCAGATCTCTCCTACTTTAAGTCTAGGCGGGGGGCGGGGGTGTTTTGTTTTTTGTTGTTGTTTTTTTCTTCCTATACAACAGCTGTTCCAACACAGCATGACACATTTCTAGTTCCCACTGTGACCTCGGCACAAGAAAGACACTTGTGCTATTTCCATGATGATTCAGCCTGGCAGCACAGACCTCAGGTGAAGGAACTCTTTCAGAATCAATAAGTAGAATTCCTTCCTAACTCCTTTCTATTTGAAGATGAGAACATCTTTTAACAGTCTTCTCAGACTCTAATGAACAAATGAATCATGCAGGATTTCTGATTCAGCATGTCTGGGATTGAGTCTGTGATTCTGCATTTCTAGAAAGCTCCCAGGTGATACTGATGACACTGGGTTGGGTACCACAGGTCTTATGTCTGATACTCGCCTTCCTACTGTTTTTGAAGGAGCAGTTGAGCTGAATAACTTGGCTAACAGCTCACACGGCACGACTGGCTTCTGATTCTGGGCCAGTTTGTCAGGTCATCAGGCATCAGACAGAATTCAAGAAGTTTCTGGCATAGAGCACATCATGGGAAAAAAAAAATTGTTCCTAGATCCCCCAGGGCTCTACTACCCCCCCACTGGAAATTAAAATGATAATGTCTCTAACATGTAAAGTTCCTATTTTTTACATTATTGTTATTTTTAACAATAATTATCTGGTAATAATTCAAATAACACCTTTCCTCTGAGAGATTCAATGAGCTTTACTAACCTTAATTGTCTAACAGCAATTCCCAGGTGTAGCTAAAGCTGTCTCAAAGATCACAGTAAATTTAAAATTGTTCCACTTTCCTCCTTTCTTTGCCCCATATGTAGTGATGAATTAGTGGCGAAGGTTTACTAATTGGCAAAGACCCACGGTCTCATAATCTGAGGCATCGGAAATTTGGT